GGGGGGCGCAGCTCGCGCCCACGCGCTGAACGGCCCAGAAAGGCGGGCGGCGTGGGGGTGGGGCGGCGCGCGCAGGAGCCGAGGGCCCCGCTGGAACTGTCGGAAAGAGCCGAAACTCCCCCGGAGGTTGCCGAAGGCGGGCGCCCCGAGGGAGCCTCGCGACGGTCCCCGCGGCGGGCCCTAGGCGGACGCCCTCTGGGATCCCCTCCCACTCACGACTCCCCCGCCTCAGGAACGTTCCACGTTTCCCCGTTCACCTCCTTCCCGACCCAAGGGTTACTCCGAAAAAGCCGCCTGCAGCGGGAAGGGGGATGGGGGTTGGGAAGGGGGCGAGGGCGGGCGGGGAGACGCCAGTCCAGTCAGCCTGGGAAATCCCGTCGAGGTGAGCGGGGCGTGGAGGGACGGAGCGACGCCCTGGCCTGCTCGGGGCCACCTCGAACGCCTGTTAGGGGTGTTGTACCCCCGCATGTCCGCGGGCAACGGCCAGGTGTCGCAGATCTCTTCAGGTCTGCTCCCAGTCAGCGTCCTTTATGCGGGGTGGTCGGTCAGTCGCGCCGCCCCTGAAGTCCTACTGTTAAGTACCCTTGTCTGCGTGGCCAGATTCCAGCCTCCGGAGAACCGTCGTTACTGTTTTTGCACCTTTCTAGCCAGGGTCCTGCCTGTGTGAAGCATCACCCACCGGCCACTGGTCGGCACTCTAAGGATTGGCCAGGCTGGAAGTTTAGACTGAAAAGATTCACCAGAATCGATCGTCATGTTCTTTTCTTTTGAGGCCAAAGTAGAAGGACCCCTGGAAAGGCATCATGGATGAACCCGAGAGCGAATATGTACCTGTATGGTTAGATAGCGCAGGCACAAAGCTGTTTGGGTTTACACGGGTCGATCAGCCCTGTTAGTACTAGTGGTACAGGACAGGGAGAGGGACACTCCAGAACCCGCAAACCTGCCTGAAGCAAATAGGTTCTGCTATTTCACAGCATCAAGACAAAACGTGTAAGACCTTCAATGGAAAGGAACTTGAATACAATTAGTAAACAATAAAAAGACAAAGGATATAGTTTCTAAAACACCCAAAGTTACCCATCCCCTCGTGGGTAGAAGTTGACCCAAAAGGGATTGACCCTATCAGCACTAGTACATGTAATGGAGCTCTACAAAGTCATCTTATCTTTGGTTTTTAAGATTGCACCGTATCCCCTAGGGGACAAAATCCCCTGGAGCCCACTCACTTCTGGTTAATAATGCCTAATTTAATCCAACATTATTGTCTACAGATCTAAAGAAACAAGGCTAGTTAAGGTATATACCATGTTTTGCTTACTAGTAAATCTACTTTCCAAGTTTGAAGTACAGTTGAAACAAACACATTCAAATATATGTTCTCCATTCACTAAATTGACACGAGTACCCAATGAGTGTTGAGTACTTTTTTGTTCTAGGCATTAGGTCACTCACAAAGAGTAAAACAAAATCATTATCCCCTGAGGAGAATATAAGGTGTAAAGGAGGATAAAAACTATTAAATAATTAACTATAATAACATGATAAGAGCTGAAACCGAAAAGTGTAAGGTGTGTAGGAACACAAAGGAGTGAGTGACTAATTCACAATTCCCCTTCTCACATGGAGAGGGAACAGGATAATAGGAGCAGAAAACAATGAAGTGCAAGACTTAATCATTAAGAGTCCAAGATCTTACTCAATTAGGACCAGCTTCACCTACCAAAAGTCACTCAAGAAACACTTTCATTATATGGTCGTTGCTGCTGCAAAATCATTTTTGGAAACTTTATAAAGAAAGCCAGGATGTCCCTCCTTAGAGAAACCCTATACCAATGAGAGTTTTATAGGTAGGTAGCCCACTTAGATGGGTGGTAGATGAAGGAGCGTACCTACATCCAGTCTATGAGAGTTGTTAAAACAATGCTAAAATTCTAATGAGATGAAGAATATCAGTGGTAACAGATACCCCCAAGGGAAAAATCCTGAGAGGACTATTTTGTTCCTGGGGTGGAATCAGAATAGATTCCGCACAAGGATTTTACTCAAAAAATAACAGCACTCCAAGAAGAGCTGGTCTCACAGAGCATATCCTGCTGAGTGGGATTTGCAAGCGGAGTTCATGGCCTACGCAATCTTTTACCCTTCTCCATGCAGCATTCAACTGCTCTATAAAAGCACATTGAGGGTCTCCCTGGTGGCACAAAGGGTTAAAGTGCAGCACTGTGAAGCTGTCCTCAGGGTCTGCACCTGGGACAGACAGACCCACTTGACCAGACAGACCCCTCCCCACACTCCAGCTGCTCTTCTCAGCAGTGTACCTGTCAGTTGGCCTGTTCTGCTCCCCACTCTGCCTCTGGGGAATCCTCTCACAGTCCCTGCACCTCTGGCCTGTACCCCAGTTCTGTAGGCATAAATAAATAAATCTTTTAATAAAAAAAAAGAAGAAGAGTGGAGAGCAGAACAGGCTGATTGTTGAAGTACACTGCTGAGGGGAGCAGCGGGCAGGTTGGGAGAGGTCTGCTTCACCATGTGGATCACCTCCAGGGTGTGGATCAAACTCATGCTGAAGTGGCCTTAGCTTCTTCTTTTTTTTTTTTTAGGGTAGCTTCATTTACATTTATTTTCATTAATTTTTTAATATAATAGTTTATTTTTACATTGTTTTGTACTTTTTTTTTTCATCTCAATTGTAATCTTCATGGGTTTCCCATCACTGAGTCACCCATGTGCCATCACCATAGTCCTATGCACTTCCCTCCCCCACCCCCCACCCCGTTTGGTCCCATTCCCCACTCCACCCCCACAAAATGTCTCTGGTATATGACCATTCATTATTCTTACTGTTTCCTCGCCTGGTCCATTATACTCCTGCTATTGTTATAGGGCACCTCAATTCTGTTAGAGGACAGGGGGAGAGAGGGGCACCCCTGAAGCCCCAAAAACCTGCCTGCTCTAAGTGGGTTCTGCCATCCGCCGCAACAAGATAAAACATATAAAACTTTAATGAAAAGGGACTTTAATACAGTAAATATACAATATGGAACACAAAGAATATAACTCTAAATCAAACACCTGAAGTGACCCATCCCCTCGTGGGCAAAAGTCAACCCAAAAGGGGTTGGCCCAAAGCAAGGCCTGAAAGCTGCCACAAGACAAAAGAACTTCTGGCCGGGACCCATGGAAAAAGGTCAGAAATGGCCAGACAAGTCTGGGAGGAAAAGAGCAACATCAAAATCAATATAAATACTGCCATAGTCACCTCCCTACAGGTATCTCACCCACATCTGCCTTAACCAGTCCAGGGCCAGGAAGCAAGCCCGGTTTCTTCCTCACATGCTCGCTGCTCCATGTGGCTTCCTTAGGTTTCCGTCTTGTTCTCCACCCCGCTTCATTTTCCTTCTCTTCTCTCCTTTTTCTTTCTTTTTTTTTTTAAGATTTATTTATTTATTCATATAGAACTGGGGTACAGGCCAGAGATGCAGAGGGTGAGAGGATTCACCAGAGACAGAGTGGGGAGCAGAACAGGCAGATCAACGAAGTACACTACTGAGGGGAGCAGCGGGTGGGTCAGGACAAGTCTGCCGGCCATGAAGGTCAGGCTGGGATCGAACTCATGTGGAAGTGGCTTTAGCTTCTTAGTGCTGTGTTTTAACCCGCTGCGCCACCAGGGAGGGCCCTCTTCTCTCCTTTCTCTCTGCTCAGCTCCACCCTCCTTCTGGGTGGGGCAGGGAACCTGGAACTTCCCTTTTTCCTAGGGACCAACCACCCTGTTACGCTATGAGGGAAACCATCCGGCCTTAGCTTCTTAATGCTGTGCTTTAACCCACTGAGCCACCAGGCCTCCCATAAATAAATATTTTTTTAAAAAGTCTTGATAATTAATATCTATAATTGAGGAACATGAGTTTTTTTGGTTTGTTTTGTTTTTAACTCTGTGTTAATTGAAGCTAAAGCCACAAACCATAACAGGCACAAAGGTCAAAAGAGGACATTTACTAGATATACTTTTCCCTTTGCTTGGACTACCTCCCATACCTAAGAATATTCGTGTTTGCAGTTCAAACTGTATCTCAGAAAATTCGTTTCTGGGATGCTAAGTAGATGTTATCTGAAAAAAATTATCCCAGGGTCTAATACTTTTGGTAATCACTGGGTGAAATCACACTGAACTGTCTTCTTCACTGAGTAGTTAATAGGGCGTCATGGTTGGTTAACAGTGAAGGGAAGTACCATAGAGGATGCAACTTCCCCCAAGGAAACTTTTTTTCCCCAGAGACTTCTGTACAGATTAATGCTCTTTGAATATCCATTCTAAACTGTTCTACTAAAGGGATTTGACTAGGTTATCATTTCCTATTTGACAGAAAACAAAACTGACATTCAAAGACATGAGTAACATATGCCAATTCAATTGTATATTTGTGTTTAGAACTGGCAAGGGCCTTAAATTATCAAAGATTGAAATGTTACATCACAAAATGAATGACTGTCAAACCCAGATTCAGAATTGAAACTCTTAGTGTCACGCTAGTACTCTGCAGGTTTATTAAAAACCTGAATTTGG